TCTAAGAGCTTAAATAATTTATTTAAATCTTAAGTAAGTAACCCTTGGGTATTACATACCTTGACTTTTCAAGTGAATTTTTATAATGGGTTCTATGTTAATGACTTTAGATTTTTTACTAAAGAGTTTACTAGTATTAGAAAAACATATAATTGTGGTGTTTGTAGTAAAGAAATCACCATTAATTCTAAAGATGAAATTGATTATTATGGTGTCTTGAAAGAGGTAATTAAGTTATTGTATCATGAACACTTAGATCGATGATAGATTGTAGTTTTATTTAATTGTAATTGGTATCACATGACATGAAGAATAACCATGGATGCTAGACACGAAAATATTAATGTCAATCCAAGGTTCAAACTTTTAAAGGGAGAGCTATTTTACCTTTTTAGTCAAGCACAACAAGTGTACTACACTCTATTTCCAGCTACGGATAGAATTACCTAGGGAAGGTTTGCAGCATGTAAAATAAAATCTAGACGTTTAATTGACACCATATTTGTCACATCTTCAATAGAGATTGATGACAATTTTCAAGATGACGACCCCCCCAATACAAAGCATTTTGTTGACTATAGATTTAACCACATACCAATCACTCCAACTACATGTAGAAGGTGTTACAAAGGTTTAGGTTGATGTTGATACATCAAAAGAAGAGGAGGAAAATGGAGAAGAAAAAAAATTAGAAACCTCGAGACATAGTGATAGTATTGAAGAGGATGGTAGTGATGATTGGCTAAAACATTTGTTATTAATATAATATATATTATTACTCATTACATATATGTATTAAAATAGAGGCCTTTATGCATTATTTTATCAAGTTGTATTTTATTCATTTAAAATAGCATTATTGCATGATTATTCTAAATTAATCACTCGTTATTTTTATACTTGTACAGCTATTTTGTTATTCCTTATTTAGAATGCCTAGTAATCTCACAAGTTCTACTAGGAGAAGATCCTTTTCCTCAGGTTTCTAGGGGTAGCACAGTTGTGAACAACTACAAATGTTGACTGATGGTAGAGTAGCTCTTGATGCAGACCAAACAATACATGATCCATTGATGGAGGATGTGGATCATTTTACCTCAGATCATGATGGTGAAAGCTCTTCATCCTCAAAAGGCAAAAAAGGATGTAGTAGGAATTGAAAAGGCCTACAACCTTGGAAGAGTCAAGAGGCTAAGGAATGGATTTAACTGACTCTTGATAAGCTATAGTTTGCTAACCCCACCCTACCTTAGGTTATCACTTCCTTATGAAAGTCATGTTTGATGGTCTATACTTCACATTTGAGTGTGTCTCCCACAGGAAGGTCAAAGGAATTTACAATTATTTCAAAGTAAGATTAAATTTTAGCAAATCTAATCAAATTAATAGATTTAGCAATTTATGTAATAAAAATAAATTATTTAATTACTAAATTAGAATTTTTATTTTTCACAAATCTAGTGTTATTCATTTTTTATTTTGTAGGCACTTTACCAATGGCCTCCTACAGATAATCTCCATGTACGCAATGCATTCTTAAATTCTATAAAACATAGGTGGAGTGATAATATTAGGGATAAGAGGTTGAAGTGGGAAAAGGACCCAACTTACATCCCATTTTGGATCACAGCTCATATATGGTCTCAACTACAAAAATAATGGAACTTTGACGAATTTAAGATGCTCAATGAAAGGGGAGCAAAGAACATGAGGTATATTAGTTTTAGCATCCATGAGATACAAATGGTAATCAAGCATAATTAATAAAAAATATATATTAAATTTTATTTAACAATAAATTATGGATTAATTTATTCTAACCAATATATTGTATTATAAATATTTTGAAATACAAACTAAATCTAGAGGTGGTGTGCAACCTTCTCATAAGGAGAAATACAAGGAGACACACACTTTCAAAAAGAAGGTGCCAAAAGGCTAGGAGCCAGCATGGATAGATTAAGAAACAAAGCACCAACATGTAAGTATATATAATATATAACTTATCATAAAATTTATAATTATAAGTGCTTAAAATTTTATTTAATTAATCTAAAATTGTTAGGCAAAATCTGTTGTTTTTTTATAGATTATTTTTAAATTGCTTTTAACAATAATAATAATATTATTATTGGTTTTCGGGATACTTATGTCATAGAGCGCACGGAGACTTACAGCCCTAATGTTAATCTGTGGCCATGCATAGATAACCAAGCATGGGGCAATACTATTGGAGGTTGCTCCTCCAATTTCATGCCAGCCATTGGGTCACAAGTGAATCCAAAGGATGTTGGATTTACTTATAGGAAGAACAACCTTAGGACAACTTAATGACTGTAATGATGATGACTGACTTTGTCGAGGAGCAAGCACACTAGAATGAGCTTGTGGCAAAACAGAATGAAAAGATAGAAAGGTAACAACATTAGCAAATAACTCTAATGTAATAATAGCTAGCTCAAATGACACAGGCCCAAAATAACATGAGCTAAATGATTGCACAGTCTATTACGACATCTCTCGCCACTTATGACAACTGCCCTTAGGTAGGTCATCATCCATTTGGCCACCACAGCCACAACATAGCTAAGGCTCAACTCTTTGCTTGATTACATCTTTCGCTTGTTCCATTGATTCCATCTAGGTCTCTCCTATATTGCTTGGATATCATTAGCTGCTTTAGCCTCAAGATGATGTTTACCATCTTGTTTTTAATCTAGACCATTAGGCTTCTTAGTTATGTTTTCTATTATATTGTCTACACACTTTGCATGGTTGCTTTTATTTTTGTTAATACTTTTAACTGTTAGCTTTAGTTTTTTATTTCAATAACTTTTCATATTTTGCTTCACCTTCAATATTCATACTTTAAAAGGTATAAAGTTTTGAACTATTTTGGGGGTTATTATGAATTGAATATTATATCCATTTAGGACAATGATATGTGGTTGTCGTTAAAAAGGCATAATTGGTTTTAGTATGGCAAAGTTGCAGAATGTGTTTTTCATTGCAAATACAAGTTCAAAACAAAATTGACTTTTATCGTATATATGGGGAAACTTAACCAATTTTTTTTTAGAATTTATGTTCAATTAAATGACCAAAATGCAAGAAACCTATTAAACAAATTTGAAAATTGGCATAAAAGGGGAATGAAACTTGGAAATTGGCAATAGACCTAAGCTGCTTTAACATGCTAAGGTGTAGCATATCGGTATATATTTTTTTTTTCAAACATGTACCACATCGGTATAGGTGTTCATTTTCCAACAAGAATCTCATCAATAATGATAAAGGATAAGTAAGAAATGTAAAATGTTTTCATTTTTTAGCTGCTAACTTTTCACATTGCAGCATGTATCTTGTTGATAATTTAAAGATGGAAATGTGAAAATTTTGCATTTTTCCCTTCCTACTGAAACCAAAATTGATTACGTGACCATGTGTATTATGTCAATAAATACAATTCCAACATTGGACATGTAGGTAAGGGGCACTATATAATACCAGAACTCCATAACCCACTCATCTTTTCCTTCCTTCTTTTTTCCTCTTTCTCCCTTATCTTTCTCTTCTCCTTAATTTCTCTTCTATCAAATGCTACTAATTTTTTTCTTGTTTATAATTACATTATATTCATGTTTTTTTTGATTTATTTCTTTTCCATCTCCTCTCTTTTTCACTTTTATTCCTTTTTCCTAATTGATTAAGCATTAATTTGCGCTATTCAATTTTTATTTGGAGTTCTAATTTTCTTTTTTTAATGTTGTTTTGTAGAAAACATTGGGTAAATAAATTTTATTTATCTAAACTAAAATTTAATTTCAATCATATTTTAATTGTATTGTTTGGTTGAATTTATATGTAAATATTAAATTAATTTGTATTTTACCATTTTTTAGGAAATGGATCTCTATATATATATATAAGATATTTAATTGAGGTAATTTTTTATTTTTTTTATACATCTAATCATAAACTATACAAGAGGAAATAACCGTCCCTTATTCCCAAATTCCTCCCCATCCGACTCTAGGCTTGAACTTGGGATCTTCAACTTGAAGTGTCAAGTTTTTAACCATTAAGTCACCCTATTGGGGTTAATTTTTAATATTCTTTTTTATTATGCTATTCAATTATATCTTATATTTGCCTTATTTTCCTTATTTTGTCAATTATGTTTTAATCATTAGTTTGAACAAATAGATTAAATAATTTTTCATTTTTATTATAAAATTTTGATATCATATTTGTTTTTTACAATATTGAGAGTTATAAATTAATTGATATTTTGCAATCGATAGATTGAATTGAATAAAAACATATATTAATTTGAGTATCAATTGAAGAAACCGTATTATTTTTTTTGGAAAAATCTATTACTAACGTCATGTGTATCGGTAGACTACAATTTATATGCATATTTTCTTCTTTTCAAAAAATACACACCAATGTTTATCTTGTCGGAAATTCAAAATTGGAACAGAATTTTAAGCGTTAATATAAATATATAAATATATTTACTAATGTTACTCACATCGGTAAATTAATGTGCAATTAGACGGAATTTACTGAAAAATTCGTAACTTCCCGCTAAATTACATGCCTTCGAATTATATGTTGGAAATTTACCAACATGAGACCGGCTGGAAGGCAACTTTTTAATCCAGTTGGTACTTTTCTAGTGAATTGACTTTCAGACGTGGTGTATGTAAATAAATGTTGGGAAGGTCACCAACATGATTTCGAGTTACGTCGTTGCATGAAATTACCAAGGGTGCTTATATCGACACCCTATTTACCGATATGTCTCGAGTCAGAAAGGTGGATATTCCAACGTAATCCCTCTACTTATTGACATATCTTGTCGTCGGTAAGTTTGCGCTTTCTAATAGTGGATTTCAATTATTAAACAAGTTTTCCATTTGATTCTTGAAAAAAAAAAAGGCATTTTAATAAAATCCAAAATAAACTCGATATATCTTTTTAAAATTTTTTATTTTGTAACTTAAATTATATTAAATTACAAAATAAAGATATTAGATGGAGACAACCTCTAATATTAGAAGCTTACCCTATACAATGTTGCATCTGACTACACAGCACATTTTCTTTATTTTTTAATTATATTACAATGATTTTGCTTTATTAATTTTGTACAAATAATATCATGGTTTTCTAACTATAAGGTTGCAACCATTGATCACCATCAATAAAAGATATATTTAGATAAGGAGAAGCTTGCGTGTCATTAAGTCTTTGAACATAAGTTGCCCTCATAGTTAAATTCGCTCCTGGACCTGAACAATTGTATTCTCCATAGAATATGGTCCTGAATTAAAATAGATAACGAGATAAGAACGAAATTATATGTCAAATTGTACAAATTTTTACAAGCTTGAGGAGTTCTGAAAATCATCTTAATTTTTAGAATCATTAGATTTTATTATACTCCAAAATCACCGGACATATACGTACTGATCACGAGTAGAGTCGTTAAAGTCATTCCAACCCTCGGGAGCTATAATATTTGTCATGTTGCAGATGGCGAAAACAACCCTAGAGAATGGCTTCCATGCTCGACCTAGCCAGATTCTTCCATTGCCTCCTATAGTGCAGTTCACAAATGAAAATCCAGTATTCTCATCCTTAGATGCTCTCCCATGTGCAGTAATAGCTCCGTTTATGGCTTTGGATCCTGGAGCAACAGGACTTGCCATGGAAAGCAATTGGCAATTCTATAGCAAATGTAGACAATTAAAAAATGCATCTATTATATAATTAAGTGGAGTTCAATGATAACCTTTTTCTTGTAGAACTATGAGTTCCAAGATTTGATTCTTATCATATATATATATATGAGGGGTGAAAAAAGGAATGGGAAAGATGAGTTAACTTCTATTATACAACTTAAAATTAAAATAGAATGTGAATATGTGTAAATGAAATTTTATTATTCATTTTTCTTTAATAAAAGTTTAAGCTTAGGGCTTTCCTAGAGTTAGATTTCTTATGCTAGCATGATCATGGTTGTTTTGGAGCTAGGGTTATTATGGTTTCAGGACGATAGGCACCGTATTTTTTTTGGTCCTTGATTTCGAACTTCCTATACAGGCAATAATGGGAGTAGTGTGTTCTAGTAGGGTCAAAGGGTGTAATTTTGATGCGGCATCTGAAAATGAATTTATTATTGCTTGCAGTTGGTTCAGGACAAACAAACTGTGTTTGGTGAGTGGCTTGCAAAGGAGGACTAGAGGAGCAGGGTCAATTCTATTGGGTAGGGGTGAGGCATGTTTTGAAGTGGAACTTATCTGATAATTGAGTTGTTTTTATTATATCTTTCGTGGTGTAGAGGGTCTGAAACATGATGGCCGTAGGCTTAGCAAATATCGGTAAATTTTATCGGTAATATCTTAACTTGTAGAGGAAAAGAAAAATGTGGTGCATTTAGAGCAGGCCTGGTCTCATAAAGATACATCTCTAAAAAATAATTGATAGGCAGAAAAGCTCTGTGTTTAACATAGAGCAAATGACTTACCTATGAAGATGGTTTTACAATTAGTATGAAGTTGAACAGGAACATGGAAATTATGTAATTAGAGGAAGATAATATACATGTTTTCATCTTTGGTAAGAGGGTGGATAGAGATCATAGGCTTCAACAAAGTCCTTAGTTTTCATCAAGTGTCTTATGGTGTTGAATTGAATGACCTGATTAGAATTGCCTCCGCAAGCTATGGATTTCGCTTAGACACTTTTTGCTGCAAATTCTGAGTCTTCCTTTGTACGGGAGAGCTGAGTAGGTGGGTAGACTACAATAACAGAGAAGTTTGGAGGTGCAAAAGATGTTGATGTAAGGGAGGCCTCTCTATCATGCGGTTCGTGGCAGAAGATGAAAGTTAATTTGAATGTAATGAAACCAATGCTAAGAGGTTTCCTTGTGATGTGCTTCTAAGCATCTGTTGACGTTTTGTTTTGTTTTGTTTTTTTTTTTTTTTGGTTTGTTTTTTTTTTCATATATGAGTTTCATATTAAAATTTGTCCGTTATGTGGATGTTTGGATTATGGAGTGGCCTGACAATTATTGTTCAAATGAATTAGGATGGGATGATGAGGCATGGATAGGCCTCTTTTTCTAAGGAGGAGTTGCTCATCCCAATTAGGCTGTAGAGCTGATACATTGGGAAGAGGAGGCTTGGTGAGGGTTATAGGGCATTGAGAAGGTATATAAGAGAGATGGACAAGGAAAACATGGCTTGTACAGAGCAGAGGAGTTTGCAAGAGAGGAGGACATGTAGCTAATTTAAAGATGGAGTTAGGAAGGAAAGGGTTCATCAGGGAGGAGAGGATGATATTGGTTTCCTCGAGTGAAGAGACAATAGCAAGAAGTTCTTTTTCCAAGAACGTGGGCTGGAACGTGTGTCACAAAGGATTAGTAAGTTATTATTAGAATCCATGCGATTAGGAGACTTCTTTAAATTTGTGTATGGAGAACCAAAGGAGGCTAGGATATGGAGATGGCTAATAAGGGTCGGGGGTTCCGCATGGAAAAAGTAGGGAGCCCACCTTTAAGTTTTGTGAGAAAGGTAAGAGTCGTGGAGGTCAGGAGCAAAAGTGAAGGGAGGAGGATGAGAGGGTGTATGGAGCAGGGAAGAAGTAAAATGGGATGGAGGCGAGGTGATAGAGATGGATGGGATAGGTAGGTAGCTTGTTGGTTTTTTAACTTGAAGGGTCGTAGCTCTTCTTGGCCTTTCAGTTTAACTATATAAAAGCTGGATTTTGTTAGGGTACGAACTAGCTCGTGCGCCTAAGTTTTTAAAACTTATTTATAACTATTTTAAAGAGTTTATTATTTTGAAATCGTATTGTATTAGATTATAAAACAATAATTATTAAATGGATAGATTCTTTTTATTATCAAGGGTCTCTAATCCATTGGTTAGTATTTTGTTGTTTGAACTATAAAACTTTTTTCTTTTTGTACTTTAAATGTTAAAAACAAAATTTTTCTTAGAACAAATTTATAAATTTAAATTGAAAGAAATAGTGCCTATAAATAAAATTAGCTTCGAAACACTGCTAAACACCCTTACTATTAGGCTTTCTGTAAGGTACTTGACGAGTTGTGGATAAGGGGTGGGTGCCCATAAGCTGTTTTTATTTCTTTTCTTTCTAAACTGGTTTGTGGTTGATGCAATGGCATTATTTCTATCTAAAAATGGCTCAAGCTTAAATTAGTATTCTACATAATATTATTTCTATAATAATTTCTCAAAATTATGTGACTTTTCTAATGAACCTCAGAATATTTGAAAACTAATTAATCAACCAATATGGTAACTTATTTTTTTGAGTGAAATCAATCACGTAATAAAAAGCTCAATAGATTTAATGTGGCGTATAATTTGATAATAATACAAATAAGAAAAAAAAATATTTATCAAGCCAACATACAAAAAAAATTAGATAAAAAAATATTTTAAAATCATGTCATTTTATAATAAATTTTTATTAAAAATAAATTTTTATTAAAAAAAAGTTAAAATAAATTATTTTAAAAATAAAAGTAATACTATTTTTTTTATTTTCACCTTATACTAATCTCAAATAGAATAAAAATATATATAGCATTACCAATTATTTTATAATTTAAAAGAACTGAATGCAAACAAAATATAAATTCGTGTCCAATACTCAAATATCACTTTTAATCTGTGTAGACATGACATACTTTTTTAAGTAAAGACGAACAGTGTATAGGCATATGACTAGGCCAAATACAAGTGAAGAGAGATTATTATTACCTCATATAGCGATCTTGCATCCCCAAAAATGAAATCAATGGAACCTTGTACATAACAATCTTTGAAGTAATGGCGACCCCTGTCGTCGTGGAGAGTGTCTTGTGCCCCGAAAAATCCACAGCCCCAAAAGGCCGCCTGGTCTCCTGCTATTCTAATCGCCACCGCTTGTGCTCCCACATCACCAGGGTTCGCAATCCGAGCCTCATTCTACCATTTCATACCACACAAATTAAGCCTAAAAAGTGAAGTAAATATGCATATGTATTTATTTTATCCTTTTTCTTTCCATTCATATTACGTCTCAATTTAAACATTGGACGTTCATTTATAGTTATAGTTTATAAAATTTGGTATTTCATAGTCTAAACTGTATGTACCAAATCCTAAAACATACAAACTGTTAAATGAGACTTACCCTTACATTTATGGACGCTCATCTAATAATATATATTTTGTAGTTTAAATTATACAACTTTTTTTTATGGTTCAAATTTCTTTTTAAATAATTCCAAGGCTCTAACCATAAAGCTTATGTTCTTAGCGATAAAGTTGGAGGCAAAGACTTGAACAGAGCCGCTATAGAATGTTCCGTTTGCAGAAGCAGCAGTATCATTCCATGCAATTGCAGTGGATGTATATCCTTGTCCTTGAAATGTAACATTAGGTTTATTTCTTGGAACGGTTACTTTCTCACTACAAAAATTAAAGCCAACGTTAGAAATAGGAAAACAATAGGGACTCACAAGAAATTAAACTAATTTTCATTAACGTACTAGTAAACGCCAGAATTGATCCATAGAACGGTTCTTTTGTGGCTGAAATTTGGAACTGCATCAATAGCTGCCTGCACTGTGGTGAAATTACAGCACCCATTTGGATCAACACAGAGTGTCAAAGTCGTGTTGGTTTCCGGTGGAGGAATTCCCACCGGAAAATCGTCGCATACCGGTACCATCTTTGCCTTTTCACTAGAGGTTTTGTGGTGTCTTTTATACACAATAGTACCAAATATTGCAATACTTGATGAAGAGGAGGGTAGACAAAAATGAATGAGGTATGTGAAAAACTGTGTATTTGAGTTTACAATAATGAGTAGTTTTGGAGCAAAAATGGCAAAAATGGGAACAAGAATAAAGAGAGAAATGCTTTTGGGACTCATTTTTGTTTTTTCTTTCTTCTTATTGGATGATTGAAGAAAGAGATGAAGGTATTTAAAACAGTATAGAATTGCATATAAAATGCACTTGAAGGGAAGGGGTCAGCTTGCATGTCTTGCACATTACTTTGTCCCTTTGGATAATCGTGACGGATTTTCCAATTACCTACCCAAAGCACCAAATATATTGCTTGGTGTTTGTTTGAGTTTGTTAACTTTCAAACTTACATTTTTTATTATTATTTAAGTCCTTAAATTGACTTTGGTTGATAATTTAAAGGGAAAACGAAATGCTAAAATGACAGTTCTAGGTTGATATATACATAATCTTCCATATATTTAGTTCATATTTATTTGATGGTGACTAGTTTGAGCATTGATATTTTGAATGATAGTCACTCTATAAAGGGTAAAGATTGTAGGAGACTGAGTTATATCTTATTGCTATATTGTAAACAATATATATACAGAAGGTACTAACGCAGAGGCTTAACTGGTATGGAAATAAGCTTACTAGTATGGAAATAATATATATGATACAATACATTAATTACAGATTAACTAAATCCTAGAATTATGGTGTCATTAAGTGCAGATCACGTAGGAGATACGCTTCCCTTAACACGCCCCCGCAAGATGGAGGTGCCATCAGCAACACCAATCTTGGAACGAAGACTGGAGAAGCGAGCAACAGATAGAGCCTCAGTGAGGCCATCAGCGAGCTGGTCATGAGAAGAAATGTGAGACACATGGAGAATTTTCTGATCGACCAGATCCCGAACAAAGTGTAAATCAATGGCTATTTGTTTCATACGAGAGTGGAGAACAGGATTGAGACTCAGATAAGTGGCCCCAACATTGTCACAAAATAGAGCAGGAGAGCCAAGACTAGAAATGCCCAGTTCCTGAAGAAAATTTCAAACCCAAACTAGTTTAGAAGCAGTAGCAGCCAAGGCACGATATTCAGCCTCGGTGGAGCTCCGAGCAACAGCCTTCTATTTGGTGGCACGCCAAGAAATAGGATTGGAGCCAAGGAATACCAGATAACCAGTAGTACTAACACAAGTAAACGGATCGCTTGCCCAGTCGGCATCAGAGTAGGCATGCAAAGATAGAGCACGCTGAGGGCGCAACAACAACCCATAAGAACTGGTGCCATGCAAGTATTGAAGAACACGCTAGCTGCCTGTCAATGAGCTTTAGTGGGCTGATGCATAAATTGGGAGAGCTTATTGACAGCAAAGTAGTGGTCCGGACCAGTGAGGACAAGATACTGGAGAGAGCCAAGAAGTCGCCTATAAGTAGAGCCATTAGATAGAGGCGCACCAGAAGTGAGATGCAATGGAGAAGAAGAAGCAAGCGGGCTAGTCACAGGTTTTGCCTCATGCATATTATACTGGTGGAAAAGATCAGCAATATACCGATGCTGAGATAAGAATAGACCATCAGTTGTGGGAATTGCCTCAACTCCAAGGAAGAAACTAAGAGACCCCAAATCTTTCAAGGAGAAACGAGCGCCTATGACCTAAATAAGAGATTGAACTGCACAAGGATCACTACTTGTAATGATAATATCATCAACATAGACAAGGAAATAAATCCAAGTGAATCCATTGTGAAATATAAAAAGAGAGGCATCCGATTTTGACTGAGCAAAGCCTTGAAACAATAGAAAATTCTTGAGCTCAATAAACCATTCTCGGGGGGCCTGTTTCAAGCCATAAATGGACTTGTGTAATTTGCATACATGATTAGGGAAACGAGGGTCAACAAACCCTACTGGTTGCTGCATAAATAACTCTTCCTCAATATGACCATGTAAGAAGGCATTATTAACATCCAGCTGATGAATAACCCACTGACGTCTAACTGGAATAGATAAAACAGTACGAATAGTAGTAGGCTTAATGACAAGACTAAAGGTGTTGAAAAAATCAGACCTAAGGCGTTGATGAAAGCCTTTGGCAACCAGTTGAGCCTTACATCGCTCAATACTACCATCCTTTGCTCATTTTAAACAAAACACCCATTTGCAGCCAATTAAATGAAGATTAGGGGAAGGAGGAACCAGTTCCCACGTACCTTGATGCACAAGAGCACTAAATTCTTCAGACATGGCCCGTCTCCAATTGGGATTTTTGAGAGCTTGGGTCACACAAGTGGGCTCATGGATGGGTTCAGGGCATTGGGACACTACCTGGAAGAGAGTTTTGGGTTTGAAGATATTATTCATGGAACGGGTGCGCATTGTAATTAGGGAAGTGGGGTAGGTTGAGGCATATTGCTTGTGGCCTTACCCAGGGAAAGGAAGAGTGTTGGTTCTTGGACCGAGGATGAGGAAGAAGGATTGGGACTTGATTGGGATTGGGGTGTGGGGCTGTGTGAATTGGACAAGGCTCGGGATGAGGTTGGAGACTGGGTGAGTGGTGACGGAATGGAAGAAGAAGCAGTTGCAAGAATAGGTACCACTTAAGCCACTAATTCATGGGGTGCACCAATAGGAGAGTGAAGCGATGACGACAAGGTACTTAGATCAAGGGCAGGCGGAGAGGGAGTTGAAGACTCACCAGCGGGTAAAAAATCAGAGGGTAAAGGAGAGATAGTGGACTTAGGTGTATAAGGAAAGGTAAACTCATCAAAGACAACATGTCAAGAAAAAAATAATTTGTTGGAACTCAAATCCAAGCATTTGTAACCCAAGTTCTCTGTTGAGTAACCTAAAAACAAACAGGGATGAGAACGATATTGTAACTTATTGGAATTATAAGGACAAAGCCAGGGATAACACAAGCACCCAAAAACACGTAGTTTATGAAAATTTGGAGGAACATGAAATAATGTTTCAAATGGAGAAACTTTTGAAATTGATGATGGGAGCCTATTAATTAAATAAACTGAAGTTTGAAAGGCATAAGTCCAAAACTTGGGTGGAAGAGAGGCAGCATGAAGTAACGCAAGACCAGTCTCAACAACATGACAGTTGCGTCATTCACTTATGCCATTGAGTTCGGGTGTATAAGGAGGGGTGGTAAAATGAGAAATTCTTGTTGTAGAGAGAAAGTTGCGAAGGGCAACACATTCGCCCCCGCCATCAGTATGAAAATTTGTTATTTTGCACCCAAATTGATTTTCAACAAGATCTTTAAAGCATGGAAAAAGAAGGGACACATCAAATTTTCGTTTAAGGGGATAAAGCCAGACATATCGACTAAAAAGGTCAATAAACAAAACAAAATAATTGAACCCATCAACGGAGGTAACTGGTGCTGGGCCCCACACAACGGAAAAAATATGTTCAAGTGGAGAATGACTGGTAATGGAAGAATTTGAAAAAGGAAGCTTATGACTTTTGGAGCAAGCATAAGATTCACATAATGAAAACTTTATTTTATTAGATAAAGGTAAATTGGAAACATGAATAATTTGTTATAGGGTTTTCGTAGAAGGATGACCTAAGCGTAAGTGCCAATTCGCCAAAGAAGTCCGCTCTCCTACTAGTGTTGTTGGTGTGGAGCTAATTTTTCCCGATATTTGATAAATCCCATGAATGTTTGGCCCTTGGAGTAGTATCTCGTTCGTGCAACAGTCCTTCACCAAAAAGAAATTAGCATGAAATTCAACATAAACATTAGCATGTTTACACGATTGAGAGACAAAAACTAAATTATGAGAGGCAGAAGGAACGCATAAAACATTACACAAAGGTAAAGAAGAGTGCAGGGTAGATAGTATGGAGTGGCCCACATGTGTGATTTTCAAACCTGTTCCATCACCAATATGAAGTTCATCAAGACCATTGTATTCAGAATGAAGTGCCAAGTTAGCCAAATTAGTGGTCACATGGTTGTTAGCACTAGAATCCAAAAGGCAATCATCAGAAAAAGCAACAGAGGAGGAGGCAAAATTTGCCATCGGCCGAAGAGCCTGCACATAGTAGTTAGGGCAATTCTTAGCAAAGTGGCCGGTACGACTACATAGTTGGCAACCCGAATTAGCAAGACGAGTGGTGGGCTTGGTACTAAAATTCCGACGTCGATTTTGATTGCCTCGATTTGAAGAGTTCAGCCCATTCCGATTGCCACAGAAGACCTGTTGAGGGTGGCAGCTGAGAGGGGAATTAGAGTTGCCTGCACTCAGTGAAGAAGGTGTATCAATATTGGAATTAAAAGAAGCAGTGACATAGTGAGCAGTCACCAGTGTGATCTCAGGACATGCATCTTCTCGTTTAAGACTTTCCTCATGAGCTACCAATCTATCATGGAAGTCATCAAAGGAAAGAGAGGAGTCTCGTGCTTGAAGAGAGGCTGCAATCTCTTAAAACTCAGGGCTAAGTCCATTAAAAACATAAATTGTAAGATCATTGTCGTTGAGTGGATGATCAATAGATCCCAATTCATCAACAACAGTTTTGAGATCTCGTAAATAAGCAACAATAGAGCGGCTATCACGTCTCATGTTTTGGAGGCGTTCCTTCAAGGTGATCACCCGAGTGCGTGAATGATTAGCATAGAGCCTTGCTAATGTTTCCCATGCTTGTTGCGCTGTGGTAGCAGTAGCAATATAGGGGGTGATGCTTTCCGAGAAGGAAGTGATAAGAGCATGCCGCAAGAGTTGATCTTGACGGGCCCATAAGCTATACCCTGGTTCAGTTACAACCGGACAAGGGATTCTGCCATCGAGATAACCATCGAGTTCATAACCTGTAAGCAAGGAAGTAAACTGAGCCCTCCATGACATATAGTTGGTGGCTGTTAGCTTCACAGGGAACGCGGCAGAGTTGAAGGACAGTGGATTTTTGGTGAGGCTAGGATTAAGGACTGTTGCAGCAGAGTTTGGAGAGGTTTTGGATGCAGCGGAGTTGGGCGACTCATCATGGGTGTCCATGATCAAGGGCCCGTGAGAGCAAGGAAGGCTCTGATACCACTATAAAGGGTAAAGATTGTAGGAGACTGAGTTATATCTTATTGCTGTATTGTAAACAATATATATACAGAAGGTACTAACGCAAAAGCTTAACTGGTATAGAAATAAGCTTAATTGGTATGGAAATAATATATATGATACAATACATTAATTACAGATTAACTAAATCCTAGAATTATGGTGTCATTAAGTGCAGATCACGTAGGAGATACGCTTCCCTTAACACACTCAACCTTTCCTTTTAATAATAATAAAAAAAAAACCGACTCTACAAGTTACAAGGAAAATGAGTCACACAATGTACATTCTTACAAGGAAATCTTGCAGAATGAAATACTACTAATTTGATGTTATGTGACTTTTTTTTTTGTTTTGCGTGAAAACAGAGTGTGACTTCTGTTACTAGATTTTAATTGTAAGAAAATATTGAGCGCGAACTAATTCCATTAACAAAAGCTGTATGTAGGCCCTACAAATAGAAATATTGTGATTGACAATTTCCATTGAGAAAGTTCATAATTTCAGAAATGTTTTCTACAATTTACACTATATTTAAAATATCTATACACCTGGACTTTATGGCCCAATGATTAAAAGTCTCGTAGTAAGGTGCACACCCCCAACTCAAGAGTTAGAATTCAAATCCTTTCTTTCCAAAGTGTAAACCCGCTAAAAAAAAAAAAAATTCTATTCCAAGTTGCACCTATCAAAGTGGCAAAGCCACTAGGATAGGTGCATCTCCAACCCCTTGGGTTGGGTTGGGATCGATTCTCTCTACCTCTAAATTTTAATCAATTTTTTTTTTTAAAAAAAAAAACATCTATTTGAAGTTACTAGATGCCTCTCTCTTTTGTGTGAAAATTGAGATAAGAGCTTTAACATAAGATTTGTGTTTAATTTAAAATTAATTGACAATAAAGGAAATAATCTTCCTTCTATTTAATTAACTCTCATATATTTTATTATATTTTTTTTCACTTAACACGTCTCCTTATGTGAGATTGGGTCTCGTCAAGTGGTTTAATATACTTCCTTACAAAGATGGGCAAATGACAGGTTTCTCAAAAATGAAGCATTGACTTTAATACCATATGAAAATTGGGAACATAGATTTCAATACAAAACTTGAATTCAATATAAAATCAATTTACAATAAATAAAGTAGTATTTCTTACATTTAACTTATGTATTCCTTTTAGGAAAATGATGTATGTACACTCTGTCATCACACCCTCCATCCCACACTTAGTTCGTCTCCGTTTCTCTCTGTTTATCTCCATTTCTTTTGTTAACCCAGCAGCTCTCCTTTTCACCCAACACTACTTCCTCTTCACCCAGCCTTGGTTCTTTGATTTTCTTTCCCTCTCCTCCCCCTCTTCTTCCTTCTCTTCCTCGCTCCTATCTAGGTTCTGAATCTAGGTTGTAGAACCCAAATCGGGTTTTGCAACAGAATCCAGATCTGAGTTCTGCAACAGAACCCAATCTAGGTTCTGCTGCAGAACTTAGATGCAGAACCCAATTTGGAATCTGTTGAATGGCAAGGTGGCAGAAGAGGAAGGGAAGGAGTAAGAACTCGCTTGCATTAGGTATCTTCAGAGTTAACGGAGTAAATAATGAAATTAACAGATTAAGTAACAGAATGAGAGTGTGTAATGGAGGGTGAGGAATTGCGATGTGTGCCAATCATCGTCCATTCTTTTATTATATTCTTGATGTTAAATTTTACCACCCAACCTCTAGAGTCAGGGCTAAGGTTGTGGTAAGAGTTTCTTCTTTCAAGAACTCTTGCTTTCAGGGAGTTACTCTCTCTTCTTCTCTAATTCATCTCTAATCTACCCTCGATCACTTCCCTATCTTTTCCATCTATTTTCAGGTTTTTTTTTTTTTGGCATTTTCCGAGTGATTATTCCCCTAGAAGTCTGCGGCTAGTTCCCTTGTTTCTTACGTCTATTAGCGATTAAGGCTTGAATGGAGAGTGGTGTTGCTTTACTTGCAGCGGCAACACAATCGATCTGTTCTTGCCCCAGTGTTGATTAGAAACTGTGCGGGTGGAAAACATAAATAATAATAATAATTAATAAATAAATAAATAAATAAGAAAATAGCTTGGTCGTATCGGCCATTAAGTTTTAGATTGGTGTTAATTTACAAGTGGTGGTGCAAAGGCCGAATTTGTAACAGCCCTATGGGACTGCTGTGGTGCTAGTGCAATGATTGGGTGGGGCTAGTTCGGCGCTGATACAGTGTTGGATTAGGGCTTGAGAGACGTCGCTGTACTTGGGCTGAGGGGGTGAATGCTATGCTTTTTCATGGAAGCATGCATTTGGGTGGTGGTTCTATGAATTTTGGAGCCTATATGAATGGGGTTACAGTAAATTAAAATCCATGGCGACACCTTGTTTACTCTTTTGGGTTTGTTAGGGATTCTGGTGCAAAGAGTCCATTAAAGTGTGCTTTATTTAAAGAAAAATGACCATATAATAGGAAAAAGAAGACAATACGAAATTTTGCGGTGAACAACTCAAAGTGTCTCTAGTGATGATAAGAGAGAGGGGTGCAGATCCACCATTGGGTGATCAAGGTTGATCTCTCGTGACGTCTGGCTCCCCGTAAATAGGTTGTACTGCTGGTCAGCAATTTACTGCTTCCCCTAGACCTTGCATAACAAATGGTGGTCTATAGTTGGTATTTATATCAAGGTTTTGAAAACCAGACCAGATCGGACGGTCGATCGGTTGAACTAGTACTCGGTGATCTAAATGATTCGGTTACACTTTTCGAACCGTTTAAACGGTTCAATAATTTGAAACCGCTCAAATCGATAAACCATTTGAAATCGCTCGAACCGATGAACCGAACGGTTCAATGCTTGGGCATAAAATCTTGAGAAATTTGTGTCCGCTGGGATTTGAACTTGCAACCTTAGAGTTTTTGAGTTGATCTTTTGCCGCCAGGACAATGTAATGCTTTAGTCAATGAGTGCTTAGACTTTTATTTAACCCATATAAATCCCAAAGATTTTAAACTTATTATTGATTACAAGCTTGAGATTCGAACACTTAATCTCCAGGTTGTAGAACAACGGTTTTTCCACTTGTACACAATGTTCTTATGTGATTTTAATGCTTTACAATATACTTATTCTACTTTGAAGCACAATTATATTAAAATTTGTTATTAGGGGGACTTGAACTCCGAATCTCTCTTATAAAAGATCAACTATCTACCAGTGCAACCCACCAACACCGCGTGATGTCTTTTGCAAAATCATATATTTATAGTATTTATATTATCGCTCCCATAATGATTGGCCCTATAATCACTAATGTTAGTTAGCTTATTTTTCCTTGGAGAAATTCTTTTGTAGTGGGTTTATCATATTTTTTTTAAAATTAAATAAAAGGTGAAATTTTAAATCTTATATAAATAAAAATACTTTAATTAATTTTTTTATAAGTATATTAAAATTTTTTAAAAGGTCTACAGTACCTTTTTTTGGTAAATAATTAAAATATTAAGTACTCATTAGTTTTAATTTAATAAATATTAAAATTTTAAAAAGAACAATAAGCGAAACTCTCTTTGGTCTTTTATTGCTTTGATTAATAATTTTTATTTTAATAATTGAACCTAATTCAAAAATTCAATTTTGATTACCAAAAATTCGATTTTTCTTTAAAAATGATTTTTTCACTTAACAAGTTTCTTTTAATTTTTTTAAGCAAAAAAAATGCTCTTTTATCATTGATGAAAGTGAAATATTTCAATTAATTAAAATTTCAACTGAATTAATAAAAAAAACTTATTTTAAATATTCAGTGATTTGAAATTAAAGAAAATACATTCACCTCTAATGATGAAAGAAATACTGAGAAAATTGTGTGAAGAAAGTTTTGACTGCTATTTTTTAATTTCATGGTAATTTATTTAACCAATAGTAATAAAAATTTAATATTTTGATTATTATATTTAAAAAATGTATTATAGACATTTTAAAAATTCTTAATGTACTTATAATAAATTTTATTAGAATATTTTTACTTATATAAAATTACAAATTATACTTTTACTAAATAATAAAAATAAATTTAATGGATGTACCATAAAAGAATTTTTCTTTTTTCCCTTATTGACTGATCTGCTTGCCTGTATTCATCGCCTAGTATTAAACACCGAAGTTATAGCTCGTGTTGCTTGATTTGGGCAGTTTCTTTTAGGAATTATAACTTATTGTAATCTCTATCTTTTACTTCTTTATTTAATTTTAATGGAGTTAGTTTCATTTTTTAACATTTAATATATAAATTTTAAATAAAAATTTAACAATTTACAATGAATAATAATTGAAAAGTTTTTTTCTTTTTACATAAAATTTTTGTTGATTTTTTTATTTGATAAAATAATTCAATTATTATTTATATAGTATGTTAAAATTTCATTTAAATTTATCTTCGTGTTTCCTATGATATCTTCAAGTGATTTCGCATGAGACAAATCTAAATACGGGTATACCACTTACTTTTCTAAAAAACAAGAAAAAAAAGAATTTCCTAATGACCTCTCTTTCCACATGTATATCTCTGTTAAGATGGTTGGAAGAATGATGGTTTAAAATTTAATTTTGCGTTTTTAGACAATTTACAAGAATAATGGATGCCTTCCTACAAAATGAGTTATGAATTTGCCTTGAATAATCCCAAAAACTTTCTCAAGATTATGAATTTATAATTAATAGATCTTAAATGCACTAAATGAAATGCAAACTAAAATAGGTTTGTAAAAGATGAACGCACCTTAATTAAATTTGTCATGTTCAAAACTAGATTAACCTATGTCTGTAGATAGATTTGCAAATTAAACTATCATATAATTGAAAATTTAAAACTAATTAACCATAAAACATGAATGAATAAAGATTAAACTAACATGAAAAAGAAAACAAAAAAGAAGCATAAACGCCATATAAGTAATCATTTTATATAAAACACTACTTACCATGAACTTGAAATAAACAACTATCAAAAAAGAAATAATACTTTGCAAAAATTAAAATATTTGCTCTCCATTACATGAGATGCAGTTGTAAAGACGAATACATGAACTACTTTAGCTATTTGAATATTGGAAACAACCTTAAATCTACAAAGTACTGTGCTGAAAGATGAAATCCATAAATGAAAGCAAGCAGTTGCTAACAAAATCAAAGAATGCTAAAATTGGTTCTAGGTTGTATTTAAGGCTGGTTGTACTTTAAATAATCTAAAACTTTCTCTTTTTTTCTTTTTCATTTTTTGTGAACTGTGCTCTCACTTTGCTCGTTGGCTATTACAAAACATAGATAGTTTCTCGAAAAAATGGACACATCAGCAGGACCAGGTCAAGACTGCATTAGATCTTGCCACCTATACCATTCTACTGCTACCTCAATCCCTCAATTGCACTTCCTTCTAAATTATAGGAGTTTCTATTTCTTTTCAATTTAAACAGCAATTAATCAAATAGTTACCATTATTCCCCAAAATCAATATTTATGCAACAAATGATTTGAGTTTAAGCCAGTAAATTTGATGTGACATCACCTATCCTATTAACACATGATACTACTTAATAAATTATAATTTATAATATAAACAGTTTAAAAAGTCAAAAAATAAATTAAATTTACTAAATAAATAAAGGGAGTATCTATCAATAAAATCACATAATTTCCTATATATATAAATATATTTCAAGTGAGAACATCCAAAAATATTTTTAATAGATAGGGATACACGAAAAATTCATCAATGATATTTTTATTTTTTCCTCACCCCAAACAAATATTAAAGTGGAATCCGTCTAATGTTCAAAGAACCAAAAAAAGTGGAATCCGTCTAAATAAAATCATTCTCCCAGAATTTAGTATATATCGTCACGCAGCATTTTTTCCCTTATCGATACGTGAAAATATTACTTAGTGGATAAGTAACCTTTGCACAGTTCTTTTCTTAACATTGTGGAGATTCGAATTCATTTGTCCCTACCAAGGCAATGAAAACTATTGGTTTTTTTACATAAAAAATATTTTTATCATATAAAAAAGGTTAGTTAAATATTGGCTAAATTTAATAAATAGTTTATTAACTATGTAATTTAATTCAGTTTAGTTTAGAAACAACTTTTTCTTTCAAAATGATCTATAAATTATCAATTTTGTTTCAAAATTATCTACTTGACAAACATTCCGTTAACTGACTAACCAAATTCTTTCCCACGGTTGACAAGCTGTCCTTTAAACTTTTGAAAAATATTAAATATAGTACATATATTTTTATTTTTTACAATATTTTTGTTTTTGAAGTTCAAATTTTTTTGTCAAATATAACAATTAACCAAGATGAAATTTCAATTTACATTCATTAAGATTCTAATTTTAATTTACAATAATCAATATCATAATTTAAATTTTATAATTTCTAAAAAAATTTAATTTTTTATTAAATATTAATATTTTTAATAAATAAACCATTCCAAAATTTAATTTAAGTAAATGAGTGCCCACATATAATTAAAATTACTTGAAAAAATAAAAATTCATTTCAATTTTATAAATCCCCAAATTAAATTAAAATCATGCATGTATTATTAGTGTTAAAAATAAAAATAAAATTTTTTATTTTTCTATACAAAGTAGTGAAAAAATATGTAATTTAATAATGATATTAAATTTTTTAAGAAATAATAAATTTTAAATTATAATATTATTGATTGTTGTAAATTAAAATCAAAATCTTGACCAATGTAAATTAAAATTATTATTTTAATTAATTATTATATTTGACAAAAAAAATTGAACTTCAAAAACAAAATTTTGTAAAAAATAAAAATATATGTACTATATTTAATATTTTTTAAAAGTTTAAGCAGCAACTTTGTCAACTACTCCGTTAGTCAATTAACAAAATGTTTCTCTAAGAGATCGTTTTAAAACAAAATTGATAGCTTATAGATCATTTTGAAAGAAAAAATTATTTCTAGATTAAACTAAAATAAATCGTATAGTTAATAGACTATTTATTAAATTTAGCTGTTAAATATATATATTTTTTAATGAAGGTTAAATTTTATTTATTTATAAATCATTCCATCAAACTAACCGTATAAGGAGATCAAAACAATTTGATCTCTAGTTCTACTTTAAAATTGTTAGTTTTTCGACTCAAAAACACATTAATTAGTAAGTATCTACTATTTTTTTTTTTTTAATTTTCATATGTATGTATATGAGGAATTTCATATTATTGTTGTAACTTTTAATTGTAAGAAAATAGTACATGTCTATTAACGAAAATTGCAGGCCCCAAAAAGAGAAATTGTATGATTGGGCCTTTTCTTGTTTACCTAAATCTATAAAGAGCTCTTACCTAACTTTAAATAATACTTATATTTCCATTTCAAAAAATAATAATAATACGTATATTAATTTTAAGTATTATTTTTATATAGTATATAAATAAAAAAGAAATTTTTTTAATTAAATGAAACAACTCAATAAAAAATTATGTATTAAAACAAAATAAAATTTTAATTTTCAATTATAGATAAGAGTATTATCTAAAATTATATGCTAAATTAATTGCGTGTTAATTGTGTAGAGGGATAAATAGTAACGGAGGCATTATAAACAGTTGCACAGGATTTTCTATCCTTTTTAGCAACTCAGATAAAGCATGACTGTGTAACTAGTGGACCAATGGTACCTCTAAACGGTTCCTTTTTTATAGATATCTATTGATTTCTAAAAATAGCAACAAGACTCATATATTTACAATGGGTAACACAGCTTCTGCTCAGGCTATGACTTACAAGTTAAAAGTATCCAATCTAATGAAAGTGGGACTCTTTCCGTTTTGGAAATAATTTTATCTTTAAACAGTTGCAGGTGGACAATTAATGGGGAAGACTTGTTTCTCATTATGTATAAGCATATTTAGGCTTGGGAAGCTGGTCACAATTAGCAGGAGCCCATCCAATCAACTGCTTCTCATTGTCATATATCACCATTCTGTCTTGCATTGATATGTCTGTTAAAATGATCCACCAAGAAAAAACAATTCGTCATATTGTATAAAAAGGCAGACAATACTAATATGGCTTCATACATCGTGCACAGAAACTCTTACCTCCAATGACATTTAAGTTATTCAGACCTGCTTGGGTACCATTAAGGATTCCCAAGCAAACATTTTTCTTGTTCTGCGGAATTTCTTTGTCAGTTATTGATTTGATACAAGAAAAAAGGGAAAGAAAATGATGTTAAAAAAATGCTGTCGGGTACTCACTGATATTATTAGATAAGATTCAGGAGGTAATTCAAACTGAGTCTTGGCTCCATTACTGGTGAAGATAAGGGAAATGGACTTGAAGAATTTCGTGACATCACGCACGCTTTTGAAAGGCTTCTGGCCTTTCCAACAGATAGCGAGTGTCTGGTCATCTGTTGCTTTCTCCAAGGGCTGTCCAGCTAGTTCGTTGTTCATCTAAGAACACATTCGGCATCGAATGTTATAAAAAGTACATCAAGAAAACCGTTATAATAAAATTTGTAAAACAATTTTGGAGAACATTGTGAAATTTGCTCATTAACTTACCAAATACAATAAATTTTGATATACCAGAGAATTGAAGTAGGTGTAAGAACTCCCACTGTCAAAAACTGCAATGAGATCTTTTAATCCAACTGCTTTTCCATTAAAAACCAGCTCTGCAAACCCAGGCGAGTAGAATTTCCTGACATGAAATGATGATGAAGTGGACAGATAGCAGAGGAGTCACCATCAGAACAGAAAACTACAAATTGAATTATTTTGAAGTTCAAATGTTCTACTGTTGAAATGATGAAAAACAAAGAAGGAACCGGAGAGTTAAATTACGGAAGTTCTGAAGACATTGATGTCCAAACAATACGTGGAGAATCATAGAGGCCATCCCCAAAGAAGAGAAAACCTCCTTCTGTTCCACTTAAGCAGTGCCCAAAAACATTCCTCACCAGACTTTGGCTGTAAAGCTGAGAAATGATGCTGGTTTTCCCCCTGCCAAGGCCAAGGATTCCATCCAAAGGATCATGAGATGTGCCAGAAGGTTGATCATACCCGCATCTGCACACATGGAAAAAGTTAACGCACATAACACCGTCGAGCATTATCAAGAACTGTAAATTTTGGATACAAGAATAGCAAGCAAGGAAGTTTTCATTTCAGGGATTCTTACGACGAGTGACAGAATAGATTGCTTGTAATAATGTGATTACTTCTTGACAATGAATTATTAAATGTTTCAAAAGAGTAAAAGCTAAGAAAGCGGTAAAAGTTACCAACCCAAGAGCTAGACAAGGTTTAAGTGGAGTTCCATTTGTGTAGTTTAAAGCAAATACATCCCTGACAAGGACTCCATGAGATGAACTGCCATCTGCATACTCAACCTCATAATCACACCGGTGTGGGTTGTCACATTTGTGTTCACCAGGTGGATGTAATGACTCACAGAGTGGATCCTTACATGGCACCAGGTCAATGCTGGGTCGGTAAAAAGGATGAGATTCCTACAAAGAGCAGGATGAAACCAATTTCAATGCATTAGCTTCTATGACAGAAAATATGGTACTCACTACAGGATCAAGGTTTTAACAAGAAAAACTAATCTGAACTAAATGAAATTATTGTTGTATATCTCAAACCCATTAAGCCAATTAATCATATAAATTAATGCCACGTGTGTATGTATGAATATTCTTAATAGCCGGAAGGAGAGAAGTTAGGGTGAGTAATTTACCTCAACACAATGAACATCACATTGGAGCCAGGTAAAATCACTTCCCGTATCAAGATGAAGAAAGTAAGGCTTTGAAGGCTGTCCTATATTGATTATAACATTATAGTACCTACAAAATAAAAACAAGAATCATATTGTTTTCAATAAAATCAAACAGATATTAATCAATGGACGTTGGAAGCAAAGAATTGGCTAAAGTATTCTGGTGATCAATTTTAGCAAAGAAATAGAAGAAACCAATTTTTATATCATCCATGCATACCCAATAGGGTAGACATTTCCATAAAGAGGAAGCAGAACAGAGGACCCGTCTCTGTTCATCATCATCGACGAACTCGTTTCACCTGAAATCATTGCTTTCCTCCATTTATAATCAGAAGCCGAGCAGAAACCGAGAAGCAGCAGCAGTGCCACCACATTTAGCACCATCCCCAACCGCATTTTTGTCATCGGTAGTGATGAATTTCTCTGCACTACCTGTTTGAGCAAAAGCCTGAAAGAAACAAAACAAGGAGTCCGAATATGGGCTTCTGCGGTGCGTTAGATTGGCTGTTTGATTGGTCAGCATTCAATATATAATAATGGGAATCTGTAAATAGGGAGTTTTGCTTCAGAATTAAGGATACAACATCAGGGTATTGCTTGGTTCTTTAAAATTTCCTTAATTATCACCCTTCCTTGTTCTTAGGTTTGCCAGAGAAAAATTCATTTTCGATTCTTTTCCTTGCCTTCTTCATAAGGTAATTTGGGTGTTTTTAGGCAGATTTACTCATAAAAACAGAAAGTAATTGAGAAGAATTTAGAGAGGGGTTTAGGGATTGGTCGGAATAGGCCCTACATTTACGTAGGCCCAACAAGCCCACAAACATGCCCAGAAGCCCTAGGTAAGCTCGAATACAAGCACACTCACCTACGTACACCCACGTAAGTGATGGCACGTGGATTGTCTGGGTATTTACATGTGGAGCATGATACAACTAGCAGGGGGCTATAAATACCCACTACTGGAAACACCTACGATTCAGACCAAAAAATTGGTCTAAAAATAGGGGAAATCGATCTTAATATAAATATTCAGATCATAACCAATCTGGATAGTTGGTCTGGACAAAGTCAATCTGAATAATTTTATATTGAGACTAACAAAATATCGGTCTGAATATAAATTATTTTCAGACCAAAGTTGGTCTGAATAATGGTTGAAAATTTTGACCACCCATAACTTTAACCAGACCGAGATAAGTCTAAATATACAAAACATTTCAGACCGATAATGGTCTGAAAAATAGTGGCCTTATCTGCGAAACTGAGAAGATATGATCTTAATTTAGATATAGTTTGAAAACTTGTCCAGGCCGAAAATGGTTTGAAAAATAATGGACTTATTTAGAAGAGTGAAAAAGTCTGGCATCCATGCGTCACTATGTTGAAATAAATTTCAAACCAACTTTGGTCCGAAATTTTGTGGCCTTACTTAGATAGATAAAAAAGTTTGGTATCTTGTGTCACTTTGTTGAAACTATTTTCAGACCATATTTGGTCCAAAAAATATGGCCTTATTTACAAGAATGAAAAATTTTGGTTCCTATGTGTCATTATCTTGAAACTATTTTCAGACCATAATTGGTCTGAAAAGTACCGCACATTCAAAAAATAAAATTTTACAGCTGGTCACTGTTTTTGAAATAAAGCATCATGGTAGAAAAAAAAAATTTCATTAATTACACGTCCAAAAAATTTCTAAAAAAATAATTTTCTCTATAAACATTGTAAAAATTAAAAATAATATTTATATGTATAACATTTTTTAAATTATAATAAAAACATACAATATATAATAAGCTAAAATTAAATCACCAACATTATCATTGAAATTACAAATAAAAAACAAAACATAAACCTAAATATAATTTTAAGGAAAATTAATAAAAATCTATAATTATATTACAAATAACATAAAAAATAATACTCAAACCATTTTTTTTACCTTGTAAATTTAATCATTTCCTACAAAAATAA